TTTTGTATTTTTTATTTATTTATTTCTTTTTCCGCAACAGAAGGTATTCTGGAGTCTGAAGATTAGACAGTTTAACCCATAAGTCTGTGCCAATTATCGTGGCATAAGCATCATCAATATTGCAGTATGGTACTAACCAGCGGATTGTGAGAAAGACTAAATGTGTTCACCATGCGACAAGTCACACACACATTCCCTCTTTGTCAACCTTAAAACAGCCTTCGACGTATCAGCGCCGCTATGTCTGCATTTGGCACCCATCCAAAACTTGTACGGCCGTGTAGGCTTACCTAAGTCATGATCGTGTAGGATCTCTCCGAGCCGTACGATACCAAACGAGGTTTCAGAGGTGATTCCTTATGGATGTGTTATGAAGATGGTTCATTCTACTATAAATGTGTAAAGCTGCTAGCATATGACAAAGATGTTGTCATTATTGACATCAACCACCACGTCATGAGTGCTGCTTACTCCAGACTGGATAAAAAAGCGAGACAAATGAGTCTGGTATTAAACGAGGGCAAGACGAAATACATATGTCTCGACATCAAACAAGCAGTCATCGCATTCGCGAGGTCGTAGTAAATTTCTTCTATATTGGAAACAGCAAGATCACTCTTGCCAAAAGGTGCTACTTTGAGGTAAAGACCTCTCTCGACGAACAAAGTAAACAACAAAAATTCTAAAGCCAAAACTCTACAAGTTGCTCATCACTCCCGTCCCGCTAAGTGGTGTGGAGTCAGAGAAGTTGACAACCTCCGAAGAGTCGAAATAGGAAGTTTCCGGGAGAAGGAGTTTATGTAAGAATTGTGGTGGCACTCTGCGCATTGGCAACGGCGAATACTGCGGTCGAGGGAACAAAGAGCTGTGTGATATACAAGGCGACATTGCCAAATCAAGTCCGGATGGAAAATATTACTTCAGCTTTCAAACGGTCTAAGCAGATGAGCTACAAAAGCGGTAAGACCAGCTGGAGAAGGAACTGGCTGCGCTTGGTATTTCCAATTGGCGCTGTTTTTAGCTCGGCTTTAATCTCGAAAGCCACCGTCAGAAATGCACTCGGAAGATTTGACATTTTCTGCCGAGCAGCGACCGCAATGAGAAATAAATTTAGCCACAATTCTTTTTAAAATAAATATTCTTTAATTTTTGTATGTTGTGTGGACCAAAAATACCTTGTGAAGGAAAGCAAGTCGAAGGTAAGAGAGCAATACTCTCCTTACTGTTATGAGAAATTCGAAAGTTAAGCCGAATAAGTATCTACCTCTACGCAACTAAACTTGAAACTTCAAAAATACCATCCGGGCGACAATGGTTAAGTCATAAAATGGTTTGGTACACCTTTTAGTCTTCCACCTATTCCCCCAAGATAAAAGGTTTCATAAGTTGAAGTTCTCTCTCTGATATTTATAATATGTCCACACATCAATCAAAAACAGAAGGTTTAGACCATAGGAATTTTGAGTATCAATTTTTATTTAATTCTGCATAGATTCCCGGTTTTTGAGATAAATTTTGAAACCCTTAAGTAGATGGTGACAGTTCCAATCAGAAATTTTATCCATCTCGATCGGCATGTAATGGTAATTTTCAAGATTTCTTGGTCCGATTTCACTCATTCGTAATAGCGTCTGTACTTGCACCCAGGGAAAGTGTGTACCAAGCTTCATCAAATCCCAAACTTTACTTAAGTTATTGTGTACACGGCAGGACAAATAGATGGACACACATACGGGCAGATAGATAAAGCAAATATTTCGTGTCCCACTTTTTTTAAATCTATTTAATAGCTAGTTTCTTTTTGAGCTATCATACTAGAGTCAAATCTATATCAAATCGTTATTTTAGAACAAATTTAAGATTTCAATCCATTCCAAAGCTATATGTTTAAATTGCTAGGGAAACTCTCTTATGTTCCTTCTTAATGTATTGTACATGCTGTTAGCTTCGTTTCGGATACGTCGAAAAATGCACTTGAATTGTCCAACAGGTCAGCTTTCTCGTCACCGAAAATATTCTTATGGCCGAGACCACTTTTTGTGGAGATTTTTCGTTGAACTGCCCTTATTTGATTTCTTTGATTTCTGTATCATCTCGCAGTTATTTAGTAGATCTTATAGGTCTTGTCTATCGTTAGTACTTCCGCTTGTAAGATGACACCTGAGTTTGGCAAACGGAAAGAGAGGGAGAGGATGTAAGGCATTTTTCTCAGGGTTTTGATACTTCATCATATATAGCGAGTTAATGGCAATAAATGCGGACTTTTAAAAGACAAATTTTTCTAGTTCATCAAAGTAGCTTTTATGGCTTTAAACAACCCTGAAGCAAAACCAAAAATAATTATTAAATACTATTGACTAAGTCATTACATTCTACTTTACGATATAAAACCATTTTTTTTCCAGCGATACGAAACCTCTATTGTGTAAACAATTCTATAAAACTCTTTTATGCTCTCAAGCTATGCTACAAGTATAAAGAAGAAAGCGAGAAAATGCAAATTGTAATTTTAACCATTTCCGGGAACAAAACATTATTGATTTCAATCTCCTGTTGCCGATAAGTGTATCAACTACCAATGTGATAGTATGTGTACGAGTATATGTGTAAATAGATTTGTGTGCAATGAAAACCTTTTTAGATTTGAAATATATTTTTCATTTTTCTTTTCATTTTTTTCTACATTACTACATACTGACATTTGCTTATTTTTCTATATAATCCTTGAGAGAATTGAAGGTAAGATTTATAGCTAGCTGCTTTGTTTCACTTCAGTCGACATTGCCTTTGGCAACACAAAAGTGGTTATTGTTTACGGCAATGGACAGTTGCCAATGCTACACGAGTATTTATTTCAACACTACTAACTCTCACTTGGTGGATAAGTATTTATGATCATAATGGTAAGAGTGGCGAGGGCAGCGGTAGAAGAGCGTGGAAGAGAATACTTGTGAGTATAGCGATGATGATGGTGGTAATCATAGCACATACTCGTTGTAGCTTCCTTACCCCACGCCCTACATAAGGGGTTCGCCCAACCAGCCTCAACTGACCACCATCAGCGCTGGCTCCACAACCTTGCCGCTGCCAATAGTCAATGCAAATATTACGTCCTTGACATCTTCCATTCAATCTAAGGTGGTATGGGTGTTCGTATGTGTGCAAATGTGTTTCAAGCACACGCAACTGTACGCCCAATAATACTTTTATGTAGTTTTATATATGTACATAAATGCTATTTGCATGGAATACTCAGCAGTGAAATGAACTAGTTGAAAACTACTGTTGCCCTGGTTAGTTGCGGCAAAGCAAAACGGATGAGTTATCCAAGCAACTTAGTGGCCCATTTGGCCTTATAATGCTTCGGGTGTGGTTTATGGTAAGCCGTACCTAGAAGTGATTTCATCGAATGCGTTCGGAAATTTTGATGCCAAGGATGCATCTCGTTCTGTTCGGCCAGTCATTCCAAAAGCCTCTGAAGTTCCGCAACTGCTGTAGGGAGGCCGTCATACAAGCTGTCTTTTGAGTATCAAGTCCTTTTTAAGAGATTCAAAACAGTTAGATATCACATAAAAAGGACTTGCTACTCAAAAATGTTTACGCAAGTCAGAAAAGGCTTTGACATCCACTCATCCCATACATATGGCAGTGGCCAGAAGCGATTCTTGACATATAGTTAAAGTAGCTTTCGACCTCTGCTCTTAGACTATGTATCTCCTAGGTTGCCAAAAAAAAGTAAGACAATCGAAAGTGAGAAGGCGGATTCCATGCGGCTCTGCATAGGGCTTGAGACCGAACACATAAAAATTAATCTTCCGTGAAATAATCAAAAAAGCCTCGGATGAGGGACTTGCCCTTGGTGACAACCTCCGCAAATGTTTTGAGAATCAGGACTTGAAGGCACGCACCTGGAATGTCCGGTCCTTTAGTTGGGATGGTGCCCGCTGCTCAACTTGTTGATATAGTCGAAAGAATAAAGGCTGTCATCAACGGCATCACAAAAGAGCCATGGACGGCCATACAAAGTAGCGCAACTCCATTGCCGAGCACTAACATTCACTCCGATGGATGAACGTCTCGCCATAATCAGCCTCAAAATGAAGTTTTTCACCACTTCGGTGATTTGCGCCCATGCGCGACGCAAGAGAAGGACGCAAGAAGGGAAGATAAATTCGAGATAGATTCAAGCTGGTAAAAATTTGCTAATTTTCGAACTAGCATAATTCTAACCAGAAAATTCACGTGATAAACTAGTTTTTTTTCTGATCAATTTTATAATTCACTGCCACTTACGAGTATACTCTATTGAAGCAACTATTTAAATCCTATAATATACATATATGCAATATATGAAATTCACAGTTGATGCTGGGCAAATGTGCTCATATGAGTGGAGTATACATTTGAGAATGCGAGCTCAAATATTTGCACAGTCATCAGCGCCAACCAAGCTGTTAGATGATGAACGACCAAAACGACGACTGAAGAAGAGCAAATCGAACGCTTGCGAATACATATGCCGGTGTGTGGGTGTGTACCCAGCCAGAGAAGGACCGGAAATGGTCATTTTCGGAAAATGTGAAAAACGTTGCGCAAATTTTGTTTATTTTTTAAATTCTGCACGCTTCTCTTTTTATCTTTATCTTCCTCTCTTTTAGCATTTTTTTATTTAGATGTTTATGAATTTATGTACTCGCATATGTATAAGTACTTTTTTTTTGGTTTCTTCATTATTGACATGACAACGTCATTGATTCCCATGTGTTTTATGGTTATTGCTACATTTTCATTTTTAGAAATGCTCCAATTTGCATTGTCTCTGCACTCGTGTGTATTTGTGTACTCGTATGTGGGAAAAATATTCTGTCGTAGGTAGTTGAGAGAAAACTTTGCTGGCTTTTACTTTTACTAGGTAACTAAAATTTGCCATCGTTTGGAAATTTTATTTAGATTCATACATATAGCTTTTTGTTTATTTGTTTAGTGTTTTAAGCGCTTACCCTCTAGAGAGCCGGTGTATATTCTTGAAATATCATATTCCACTGGGCCGTGTGTACTTTCGATTTCAACATCACCAGCAAATACTGACAGTGGATTCTGATGGAGAATCATGCGAAATTCTCTGAAATTGAGAAAATTGGGTAAAGAGAAATAAAAATAGATATTTAAAAATATATAAGAGAAGAAAATGTATACTACTTTTTATATGTATTATATTATTTAATTTCATTATAATATTCTTTATACAATAATTTATTAAGTCTTGCAAAATATTCATAAATAAAAATTAATGTTTGTTAATTAGTGACGCTAATTCTCGAGAACGGCTAGACCAATCTTAATGAAATTTTCATAGGTTGTTCGTTATGGATATTAGAAGGTTTAGAAATAAGAAAGTCTTATACTTTTCCTGAAGAAAAGACGGAAATAGGAAACTTCCAAAAAATGACGTTTTTATATGAATTTTTTTTTTGATTTTTTTTTTTGATTTTTTTTTTTAAAATCTATCAGGAAGCGAAATCAATCTTTTGAAAAAAGATAAAATATAGTTAGTACAAGATTTTCAAAGCGACAATCAATAGGTCACAAAGAAAGTCGGTGGAAATGTGTGGTAAAAATTTGGAAATGGCACGTTTCTCACACCTCAAGCTATACGTGGCGTGATCATGAGTTGGAAAACCATCTTCTCTGTACATTACGCACCTGAACAGAACACAACGATTTTTTTAGCAAGTAGAAAAAATGTTGAGAATTCGTAAATAAATGATTTTCTATACAATATAAATACAACTTTCTTTTCATTTCAAAAAAAAAAAAAAATTATTTCATGCAGGACAGCGCCTGTGGGGTCAGCTAGTATGTATATACTCGTATATGCTAAACATTATTTGTTAAGTAAATGTTAGAAAAATTTACTAATTTCCTTCCAATTCCATGCAAAAAATCTATGCTGCCAAATATGCGATCATTTCTAACGCCCGCACCTAGGCCGGATGATATTATTACTCCGCAATTACAGAATAGTTTACTATTACGCACATTCCAACGGCATGGAGAAAGGTAACAGTTTCAGATCAAAGGACCATAGGCCGTCATCATTGGTTCTAAAATCACTAGAAAAGAGCATACTGAGTTACATCTATCAAATTATTTAAGAAAATACTAATTTCGACCGATGAGCAGGTATTCTAGAAAGGAAAATCAACAGAAACCGCATACGCGTCTGATTTCATTAATTGAAAAAATTCCCAACCAAAGAAATTCTGCTTTGGGTAGAGAGCTAGCTTTTTGCACAACATCTTACCCGATGCAGATTTACTTTATAGAGTCTAGGAGTTAACACCCACTGATTGCATTAAAAAATCAGTTACTGCTGTGTAGATCTGTAACCTCGAGCTACGGAGAATATCAAGTTGGCGCTCTAACTGTCATGCTCTTGAACCTTACAGGAATTGATTGGAGTAGAGTTAAAATTATTCAATACGCAGATGATATTGCCAAACCTTATAGGGTTTGATCAATAGAATAACCAATGATTTGGACTCTCGGTCATCCTAGAAAAGTACTTGTACATTCGCATACAAAGTAGTGTATACCGTAGCTGCTCAAATTCTGCTAGGAACAGTTATATAAAGCATGTCCTAAAGGGAGGAATGAAGCAGTAACTTGAAATATGTTCTAATGGATCGAAACTTGATGGAATAATTGGAGAAGGTGTATTCTTAGGAGAACACTATTTCAGGTCACCCGATCATTGTGTATGGAATACCAAATCTCAAAACATAAATGTACAGAATTCCAAAACTCACGCTATTCGATGCTTTTTCGATGGATTTAAAATTCAAAATCTTAAATCTGAAACATCAGTTATATATATTGGCGTGTTCCGATCTAGCCGATTCCGACAAAGAATCGTCTGAATGTAAAAATACATCTATGTATGTATGTACCAAGTTTAGTTTAAATTTCTCAAAAACTGAATGACTAGTTTGTTCTGAAACATACGGACAGATGGGCATGGTTAAGTCAATTCAACTCGTCATTTTGACTAGATCGGTCTAATATTAATGGGTTTATCTCTTCTCCTTCTGGTACTTTCTTACTACGGACTTAAGTTAAAGTACCATTTTATATACATGAAGGCTCAATTAAATGCGGTACTAAAGATTGGAAAAATGTGTGCTAACTTTCTTAAAATTCAACAAAGAAGGTAAATTAAGGGGGTCCTAGACAAGTGGCTTTCAAGAAGAAACATAAAGCTTATAATTCAATGTTATGACCAAGAATTGAGCTTTATGTATTATAAAGATGCTGGTTTGCTGCCACAGCTGGCTCTCTTCTCTTCCAAAGCGTAAGTCGTCTTGACTTTATCTGCGTAGATAAGCCAATTTTATATCACACAATCTTGGAGGTCATTCCACAGGCACACGACGCTTTGAATTTATTCACCGAAACTGCATTGCGCTCGACGGTCGTTAGGCTTTGACTCTTACACGAGGAGCATTTTGTAGGCCCGCAAAGTATTCCAGAAAGTGATTGGATGCCAAGGCGGAAGATTTGAGAATGCACAGTGCCCACTAGTCATTATACGAAACCTATTCATGGTTGCTGGGACTATCGACGCTGCTGAATAACTAAGACGACTGAATATTGGAAGCGACGCGCGTCATGTCGCACGAACCAAATCATTATTATGGTATTAAATTTTCACGACTTTCAAACAATGCTTGCTGGCTCCGGACGCCTATTCATTATAAAATGCTAAACCAACCTGAGTATAAATCAAGTAACGGCTGTCAAAGTAAAAGCTGCGAGAAAAGTAAAGCCTTATTGAAAGCCACACCTCTTATTATTTTCCTCGGCATTTCAATTATTATAGATCTTTTTTTTTTCAAAAATTCAATATACTGCTATTTACAGTAAAAGGGCTTTAAACACTTGTCATGCACATTTGCATATCAATATGATTATTATTATTGTTATTACTATTCACCACTCACCTGTCATGAGCAAAGAAATTCAGTCTGATTGTGTGCACTGGCCCGAACTCGGCCGAATTCAATTCTCTTTTTCGACGATGACGCTTCTGTTCGATATGTTTTTGATGGGCCGTATGCAAATGCGTGCGATCGAAATCCGCCGCCTCCCAGTGGCGTATGTATGGGGAGAGTTTCTGTGTGTGTCCTGAAATGAGAGAGAGAGAGAGAGAGAGAGAGTTGAAATGGGAAAAGGAAAAAAATTGAATTAGCAAAAATTTTTAATTATTAACGGCATAAATAAGAAATGTCGCCGAGTGGCGGTGAGATGAAGTTGAGTTGGAGAGCGTAAAGTTTTACACAAACAAATAACAACAAAACAGATATACAACATTTCGTACAATTTTTAATTAGCACTTTTTGATTTTTTGATATTTTTTTTGATGGTGTTGGTGTTGGTGTTTTCTCTTTCTCCCCCTCTGTTGATTGCAGGCAGTGCGGCGCACAAGTGTGTGACCATATCGAGTTTGCGGTAATTATACAAACAATAGCAAAAACTTTTTGTACAAACTTTTAAGCGTAAAACCGCAAAATGAAAACTTTGTGATATTTACTTGTATTTTTCGATTTTTTTTTTCTCCAAATTTTTATTATGACTATTTTTAATTTTTCATTACACAGAAACACAAAAAATATGCGCGCTGAGGTGTACTAATTGCAAAGTTGCAAAGCAGTCAGTTATAATGGATTTTTTTTTCTTTCACTTTTATTTCTTTTGCACAATAATTTGCGTGCGAGTATGTGTGTGCGTGTATGCCACGTGTGTGGCTCAAGTGTTTGGAGTACGTACTCATACTTACTGCTCTACTCGGTTGTACTTAAAGTCGACACATATGGCATGCGAGTAATTGTTTAAGTCATTGTACATTAATTTTGTAATTTTCTACTTCAGTGACGTTTTCCACACACACACACATACACACACACACACAAACACACACACACACAAACCCATGCGCAAATGCATGCTAGCATGCCTTTTCAAAAGCTTGTGTTTTTTACCCCCTTTTCTTTTGCCATTACTTCACGAATTATCCATGTTGGTTGGCTTGGAAACTCTGGTGTGTATTTGAAGTGTTTTTCTTTTATCTGATTTTTACCAGCAAATGAACATAATGCATTACAAAGCAGCCCGTTGCACATTAAATGTGGTTTATATAGATATTTGTAATAGCACACGCACTTACACAATCACATATTGAATTACAAGTTATAAGTTATAAGTTGTCTTCGAATATGTCGAAGGTTCATGCCATACATGGGGGAGAAAAAATTCAGCTTAGAGTGTAGAAATATCCCTTAGAAAATGTTATTTTCCTCCTCTCCGCTCAACTCGTGGTTTCAGTACCGGTGTAATGTAGCAAAATATTATTTTTAAAAGATAATTTGTACTGCTGCTAATATGTGTTTATAGTAAATATATACTATATATTATTCGCCGCAAATGCACTCTACTTTTGACATATAAAGAGCATACAAAATTTCACATTTCTAGGGGAACAATTTGAGAAGTTACAACCAAAAATCGCGTTTTTGAACAGAGAGTTGTATGTAGAGTGCATCTTAAAGTCATTCAATTTTGTTGATTTTCACTATCAGATCTCTTTGCGTGATTTGTACGCGGTAGACCAAATTACAATCATTAAACATTTTCAATTCGCAGAGTTTGGCTAAAAAATATCATTTTTGAACAGTGAGTTGTATGGGAAATACATGTAATAATTAGCCAATCTGCATGATATTCAATCACAAGTCTTTTACTTAATATAAATACATAGAATATGAGATTTCATGTCCCTATTACTCCAATTAGAGCCGTTAAAAGCCAAAAAGGCGTTTTCCAACAGTGCATTGTATGAAAGCTACATTGTAAATAGACTAACTCTACTTGATTCTCCCCACAGTTGAACAAATGCATGATAATTACATAATATAACTAAAATACAGCTACATAGTTTCTTCATTTATGTAGTTACACAAAAAAATTTCGTTTTTCAAGAGACAATTGTATGAGCGCCTTATGTTATAGTAAAGCAATTTAGTTTAGATTCAATATAAACTTCAGTTACTTCATAAGTTAGCAGTATACCAAATCGCATGTCAGTAACTGCTAAGTTGCTTGAGTTATTATCGAAAATGGCGTTTTTGAAAACACAATTGTATGATAACCATATGTTAACCGTAACGGATTTTGTTGAATTTTTCGCTCAATTATACACTACTAGTGTGTAAAAGTTTTGCAAAGTTTCAGCAACTTTGGTGTTTACTTATAGAAGTTATAATAATAAATGTTATTTTTGAACACTAACTTATATGGTTGCTACATTTCATGATTATTCGATTTGTATGGTTTTCATATAACATATTACATTTAACCAAAGCATTCAGTATATAAAATTTTATATATTTATCTTTACAATTTCCAAAGTTTTCAAACAAAATGTCATTTTTGAACTGTTAATTGTATGACAACTGCGTGTTATAGTGATGCTAGCTTATTAATTTAAAATACTCGACGTGACAATCACGTTAGCTAAGTAAATACCGAATTACTTTTTGTCAGCTGTTTATTTGAAAAAGTAATTAGCAAAAAAACACCTTTTTTAAACGATTAGTTGCTGTACGCCTTGGTAAAGAGTCGCTAATAGATTTCATTCTCAGCTATATAGAGTTGATAAGTAAAAGTAATAACTCACTTTACACCCATATCCATTTAAATATTAGAATTGTGATGGAAAAAGGTGTTTTTGAAATTTCGAAATTTTATCGCATTGTTCAAATCTACCTAAAACAAAGCCAAAATTCTACTTCGTGAGCGGTATAAAAACACTACTGCCTGCAATGAAATAAAAAGCCATTGCGACGTGTTAAGATCTAATCGGCACTCGTAAATTTATAACTGAAAATTGTGAAAAATTGCCTTTAACTGCACGCCGTAGCTACTATTATTGCTTTTCTTCCAGCATAGATGTGACTTAACAGACACATGCACCAACCTGTGCACAATCGCACACATTGGTGGCACATCGTAAAAAGGAAATAACATAAAACTTTATGTTCAACTTCGAAATTCGTCTTAACTTTACACATAAATGTGCAGTTATTTCCGCTTCGTTCCAACGTTGTGTAGAATGTTAAACAAAAATTATCATGCAATTAAATTATTAGTTATTGTATAGGCTTTTTCCTGTTCATACCCATCGCTTGTCGGGGTTTTTTCCTCTGCTGGTTCAAAAAAAAATAATGACTTTAGCACCATTTTGGGCTCTTTATGCGTCCACGACAAGAACCATACGAACGTTGAGTTTGATACGTTAGTGACTTTGAATTTGCCGTCCAGCTACTGTAAATAAATGGTTTTCTAACAAGAAATATTCGTAAAACGCCCAGTCGGACGGCAATACAGAAATTGGTGGTCGCTCAAGAACAACTGAGAATCTTTGGGCTGTAACTCAAAGTGTTGAAGAAAACCCAGGTCTGTCCATTCTTCGTTGTAAAAAATAAAAAATAAAAAATAAAATAATACGATCATTGGCTAATATCATACCGAACTTTTGGACAGATTAAAAATGATGTGATGAAAACACGACTGCAATTGGCTGAAAAGAGTGTTAGGCCAACTTGCACGGATGCTGCCATGTGTAGTCACCAAGGTGAAAATTCATAAATTCGGCTACCCCGTTCAGCATATACCGCAGATGAAGCCTTTTACGACTATTTCTTGTCTCCAAACCTGAAGAAATGGTTGGGCGGTAAGATTTTCGGCTCAAACGAAAAGGTCATCACAGAAACAACCTTACGAACGACCCTCGTATATTGAAAAGACAAAAAGAAAGATGATAAAAAAAAACAGTATAAGAAACAACAGTGTAAGTATATACAAATTTGCGTGACACACTCACTGCCACTTATTAACAAACCCGTGAGCTATCAATCAATTTCGTTAATCATTAAATTGGCCCCGATGTCGTGCGCAATTGCCGCTGGCCCAGCCAGACCTAGACCCAATATGTTAAAATTATTGTATTATCATTAATTTTCTCGTTTTTGTTTGTCGTCTTCGTGGCAGCAGTTGAAGCGCAGCGGCAGTGGCAGTGGCAGTGGTAGATTATATGATTAGCACGTTGTTTAATTATTGCCTAACACCTACTTAGTTAGTGTGGTGTTTGGGGAATTGAAGGCTAAAGTGTTTATAAAGCTAATAATATATGTATGTATGTAAGTATAGTAATTTATTACGCTGTCACCTACAACATAATGTATATTTCAATTACAAATAAATCACGGTATAATAGAAAGAACAAAACGGTCTAAAATTTTTTTCTTTTTAATTTAAAACTAATTGTGCTGTTGCTATAAAACTAGAATGTCTATGGCTTCATATGAATCTTTGCTCTCCTCGATTATTGTAGATATACAGAGATATAACTGAATTATCAAGCTCGCGACGGGGCGATTTTTAAGCAAGTGTTCTTTGCGGTCAAAAATCCATCAATAAAGCATCGAAGATGTTGAGATTTTTCATTTTCCAATAAGATCTGTTATTTTGATGTTGAGTTGATGCGGCTGCTGGTCAACCCCAGCACACACCGCTGAGACTTCTGCCTTCACCTTTTCAAATGTTCGAACCATTTCGTCTGCCTTATAAAGGCAAAGAGATTTCCAAAGTTCGCTGAGGCCAACTCAGCGAGACAGTCGAAGAAGGGTTTCTCAAGAAACTTGCGCCGCGCGGATGACAATGCTGAACAGTGGAAGAGTTAGTGCTTGATAATCTCTTCATCTTCTTCATCCCCCCAGCGGCGGCAGAAATCGTTAGAGTAATAGCCCATCCTATTCCTGTGTAGTTCCATCAAAGAGTTTTCAGTTAGTATGTGTGGTTTTGATTTTTGAAAAAAAAAATTTAATTTATAGAAAATAAATGATCGGATATTTATTTAAATGTAGAGAGTAAGGTATATCATAAATGAAGGTAGAAAATGTAAGCCAAATGACCGCCACGGTTACGCTTACAGGGTATGAAATTTTCCATCCACCATCTTGGCGGTCTTGGCTTTTGATGTTGGCTTGTTGGTGTACATCTTATTTTTTATAAAATTCCAAAGAAAGAAGTTGCCAGGGGGCCAACTGCGATCAGCTCTTCGAGAGTTT